ACCGTATTAAACTACCTAGATTCTTTTAAGTCTGCTACTCAGGGGGAAGAAAGTGGTTCTTCCAAAATTGAACAGGTACCTTCTGATTCTAAAGTTTCTCCTGAGACAATTCTTAAAGTTGCTGCAAATTTGGAAAATAGATTTGTAGGATCTATAGCAGGTGTTGAGACTACGGAATCTGGAGAAGTTGGTGGTAAAAATAAAAAAGAAAAAAAGGAGAGCAATGGTGCTGGGAGTACAATGAGGGGAAAGGGGACAAGAGTGGCTGATTCTTCACCCACTCCTGTGAGTTTAACCAAAGACGCATGTGCAATGGTTGTTTGGGGAGATGAACCTGGTTCATCTATAGAGAAAACCCTCGCAGACCAGCTAAAGAAAGTGATCGAAAGCTATAACCCAGCTTCTTGATAGAGTTATCAATGGCACCAAAAATCATACCATTCCCTATGGCTTCATTCTCACAACCGTGCTTGCACATTTCAATGTACCTATAAAAAAGTGGGAGGTTAGTAAAAGCATGGATCATTTTTGGGTTAATACTCTGATTGTTTGCGATTATGAAGTCAATGTCACTCCTAAAGAACCTAGTTTATCCAAAAAGGTACTAGTGAATAGCAAGGTTAGAGCCTTGGTGCAAGAAAGTGGGGCTAAGGATGCTGGATTGAAAGGCTGAATAAGAGGTTGGTTGAGGTGGAGACTAAGAGAGATGCTCTCAAAACTGAGCTGGCAAGAGAAAAAGAGAAGAATGATGGCATCCTTCAAGGTATACTGAAACTCCTCCAAGTCAAAAACCAAATACCTAGTTCTTCCCAGCCTTAAGCTTCCTAGCCTAGTGTAGATTAACCAGTGACCCAGTTCGGGACTTTTTGTTTCTTTTGCTCATGTTTCCAGTATTTTTATTTCTTCTTATGCTTTGTGGTAGAATCTTATCAATCATTAATGAAATTCACTGTCTTTTGCTCTAACTGTTTGTTTATATTTCTTTGATGGTAAAAATTCTTAGCTTGATCTATGATGACTAATCCATGATTACATTTGAAGTAGCCCCAATGGCCATAAGTAAGCTTTAAAATCTGGTTATCTCACATTTTTATGCAACTTTTCGATGATGCAAAAGGGGGGAAAAGGTTGTGCTTTACACTTTGAACAGTGATGTTTATAACCTAATATACCTGGTCCTTGATGATAAGTGAAAAATTTCTAACTTTGCATTGATGTTGAGCTGAGTTCTGGCAGGGCCTAAGTGTGTGAAAAGCAAAGAGTTTGCCATCATCAAAAAGGGGGAATTTGTTAGCCCGGGTAAAGGTTAAGTTTTGACGATTGACAAAGGAAAAAGATGAACCTGGTCCATCCCTCAGGTGCACAAAAAGGGGAAGATTCGAGCATATGGAATGCACGTGAAAGATATAAGCTTAACTTGGTGTATTTTATATCTCCTGATCGAAAAGGTTGCATAATTGATAAGGAGAAGGAATCCTTAATCAAAGAGAACACTATCCAAGATAGGGAAGGAATTAGAAGTTGAAATCAACTAGAGGAAGAGTTACATCAGAACTCTAGTTATTTCTTCATCTACAAACTCTATAAATTGCAGGATGTTCTCACATTACAATGTTACACAAAAACGGAGAAGTTAAGCGTGAATTGAGAGCAAAATAGCAAGGCTTTTTGCAAGCAGTTCGTGTGTGATTCAAGTGTGCAAACCTGAAGCTACATGAACCAGATTGAAGAACCAGCTCCATAAAGAGTTTTACGTGTCTTTCTTTATTTCTAGTTCAATTGTAGTAGGTGATTTTACGTTGTACCTTTCAGCTTTCATAGAAGCAATTGTATTAGGTACTTTGAGTATTCAAATTAGAGTTAACTTGAAGTTGTCGCAACAGTTGAGGCTATGTGCTATAACGGGATTAGAGGTAATCCTAGGTTTACAAAAGAGTTTTTGTAAATGCAGTTTTTGACTCAGTGATTTTAGTGGAAGTTTTGGAAAATCCTACTGAGTAGTAGGTCGTGGTTTATTTCACCTTTTGAGCCAGGTGTTTTCCACGTAAAAATCTCTGTGTTCTTTATTTTCTGTATATATTATTCCGCAAATAGTAGTAGTTGGAACACCTAGAAAAACCAGGTCCTTCTATAGTTCAGTTAAGCGAAAATTGGGTACCACACAAATCACCCCCCCCCCCCCTCTTGTGTGGTATTGACGCTTAAAACATCAATGTGTTCTAGGCATCTCTATGGCGGCAGATGTGTTAATATAATAGAAAAAGCTAAGAACGGAGAATGGAAGATAGAAAGCAAAGAAATCGTTAGAGCAAACACGGGAGGGATGAGAAGGATTAACCAGAAACTAAATGGCCAAGAGTTTTTGAAAAAACAAACCCTCCACCTATTTATAGGATTGGGTGGCGCCAGAATCGAAGCGGAAGGCTGCAAAATGGCATCGAAATCGAAGCGGCAAACCATCAGCCTCTATCTCGAAAACACGCATAATGATGACACATGTGGAAGTGACGTCATTTCCCGATAAGACACACCACCCAGGATATCGTTGAGCATGCTAACCTTCCGTTGTTGGCCAAACCATGGCGATTCGTAAACCAAAATTCTCCACAGGTGTGGGCGATGTCCGCTTATCGAGGATGCATCAAGCCGCAACCGCAACAAGCGGAGGGATTAACTGTATGGGTCATGGATGACCACGGCTACTGACGAATACGACAAGAGACGAGGTCTTTACGACACGGTGTCCTGTGGCCGTTGAAGAAGGAGACGACTGACAACGGTTAGAGGACGCATGACTTTTGCAGTAGTGTAGGCCTAACAGGAGGCAGTAGGAGTATGCTTTCGAATATTCTTTATGCTATACCTTTTAGGTTTCAAGAAGGGGTTGTCCCTTATATATAGTGCGAAAAAAACCTTGTAAAGGGCACTGACTTTTTGGTAAGAGCATCCATTATAATATCTTTCTACAATCAAAGTTGGGAGATTGACGCTTAATCATTCAGTTTCATTACATCAAGAAATATTATTCATCCCATTTATCCCTTTCATCTTTCAATCTAGAATTTATTATACTTAGCTGCGATTTACCTTTCCATCTTCTTTAACTGATTTAATCAAAAAGGTTTCAATATCTTTTGGGTCAAACACCATACATTTATAAAGTCTTCATTTTTTTAAACGCAGTTAATTAAAGGAATTTTTACTTCCTATAGAAAGGTTAACACCTTATTTATTTTAAATAAATACCATTTAAAAAAATAATATTCTATAGATACCTTTTAATGTTTATAGCAAAATATCTAATTATGGTTACCCCTACCCTAAGCCACTAAATACGCTATTCAGTTACACTATTTTCTTTCTCTCTCTACTTTGATACGTGCCATTCTCTTCTATATTTAATTTGTGCAGTCGATGATTCTTCTAGTGTTCAGGGAAAAACTGTTCTTCTCAACGTCGAAAATAAATCCAAAAAGAACACTTTTTCGGTTTCATTCATGCTCAGAGGTACATATTCTGAAACTTCTTTCGCTATTTTGGACGCGTGAAATGAAAACACTTTTGCAACTTTTAAATCTCAATTTTGGTTAAATCTTTATTCTCTTTTTGAGTCAAATCTTGTCTGATAGGGTATAGATTAGAGAAAGAAGAGTTCTTATTCTGCCACCATTGCTTGATGGCGTCATCTTCTCGAGGTTCATCTTCTGGAGAAAGAAGAGTCCTAATGTTGGATAAACTCGAGGTTCTCAACTTTCGTCATCTTCAATACAAGATTCAAGCTTTAAGAGAGTCCTTACTCTGCCACCATTGATCGACGGCGGATTCGCTTGAAATTAGGATTTGTTCTTGAACAAAGACGACGGAGTTTGGGGCTGAGCAACTTGATTTTCTGTTAATATATTTCAATGTATTTTCAACGTATCATGTTGTATTTTCATGTATTTCTTTGTATTCATTGTTTTTTTCATTGTAATTCAATGTATCTCGCTGTATTCCATGTATTTCATTGTATTCATTGTCTTTTTTTTCATTGTATTTCAATGTATCCCGCTGTATTCTATATATTTCATTATATTCACTGTCTCGCTATATGCCATGAATGTATTCATATATTTTTTTTAATTAATATAATTTATGTATTCAGATGTATTATATAATTTCTCTGAAGATTGCTATGTTTTTGGGGTATTTTTCGGTTGAGAATCTTTTTTATAACCGGAAATATAAATTTTGTGTGTTATAATTGAGTTTGTTGAGTTATATTAGGAGTCTATTATGTTAATTGATACACTTTCCGTTTAAAAACAGTGTAATCCCCTGTTTCACGCTGTGAATACAGTCGAATATAATAATCTGTCCAGCTGTAATCCCATGTTTCATGCCATGAATACAATCGAATACACTCGAATACAACAAGTGATTAGCTGGACTTCCCTGATTTACACATATTTTTGCTATTGTATTCATGAATACATTAGCTTAAATACATTTAATACATCTTATAACAACACAAAATGTATTTATAATCCGTACTATACTAAATGGTATGTATGGAAACCGCTATATTTCATTCCCTCGGTCCCCCATGTCTCTATTTCGAATCGAATAAGTAGTGGCACATTCCTCTGGTTGAATTGCGCCAACTCATATCTCCTCCCCAGTCTCTCCGTCGATCGAAAATGACCGCCGTCGAGAACGGCAATGCGGAGCCGCAATCAGCGTTGATCTTCCTCGGCACCGGTTGTTCCAGCGCCGTTCCCAATGCACTCTGCCTGATCCGGCCCTCCGATCCTCCTTGTTCTGTGTGTTCTCAGTCTCTTACCGTACCGCCTGAACAAAACCCTAATTACAGGTCAATTTTCTACATTGTTGCTTTGCATTTTTAGTGCATTGTGAGTAATATATATTTTTTTTTGGATAATTGCGAACTTTAATTTGTTTTTCAGGCAGTGATCTGTGTATATATTTTGGATGTTCTGTTTTAGGAATAGTTTGAAGGAATCTAACAACCTGGTTGGCAATGTGTTTGGTAATTGTTACATTTTCAGCATTCAGAGAACCATTTAATTGCAGCTTATCTGAGTTATATGGAGTAGTGGCTTGTGATTAAACAATGTGAATTGACCTTATCACAATATAAAAATAAAACAATGTGAATTCATTACTGTAAGAATACTGGTGAGAGCAACCCAAGGATGTTCCTAGTGGTCAATGAAGTGTGAGGAGAACCACGAGCGACAAATACTAGGTGATTTCTTTCCATATGTCTGAGCCTTAGTGAGCTGAGTTACATGTTACTTGTGCTAGTGAGAGATAGTAGGTACCCATTGGAATACTCGAGGTGCATGTAAGTTGATCGAGACACCATTGTTTTAAAAAAATAGTGGTGAGCACAAGTACATATTGATTGAAGTTGGAAACTGAGAAAATATTCAGGAAGCAAGTACATACCCATGCTTTTCATTGTAATGTGTTTAATTATCAAAAAAATGTATGTGTCAAGGATTGTTTACGTTGAATTCTATGAGACCTCATCAAAAAGTTTAAGCTGTTAGAGAGATGCATTTATTTACTTATATTAGGTCAGCAACATGGCCTTCTTTTACTAGACCGAGTACATGGAGATATTATTGTTGATGGCTGAGGGTGAGAGTCAAATCCTAAACGTCATGTTAAATTATGCAACCGTGTGGTCTAAAAGCTTAATCTGTTAGAGAGATGAAACATTTAATTACTTATACTAGGTCTGCAAAAATCTAGACAAGTATATAGTAAATTCTTATGTTAGATGATGACTACATTTTTGTACTCTGAGAATGGTTTAATTGACCTTAGAGTTATGTGGTAGTGGTTAATAGTTGCGTAATGGTCTGCAGGTGTAATACATCTCTTCTCATTGATTATTTTAAGGACAATGGTGAGCACAAGTACATATTAATTGATGTCGGGAAGACATTTAGAGAGCAAGTTCTTCGGTGGTTCACCCGTTATAAAATTCCTCAAGTTGATTCTGTGAGTTCTTTATAAGTTCTTCGCTACTAACTAAATTGTTTCCCCGTTGTTTAGCAGAGCAGAGCAGATGTGTTACACGGTTAATGAGAAAAGAACTATGTTACATCCAAAGCTACTTCTGAAAACCTGAATTCACCAAAGTCAATATATAAAATTAGCCTTATTTTTTCCCAGAATTTTCGACCAAAATCAAGAGTTCCAAAGCCGAGCAGTTTAATTTACCCTTATTGCTGCAAATTTTGGGAAATGAATAAATATTGGATACTGCAGTTTAGATCAACAAGGTCGGTAGGACGATCATTAGTTCAATATCCTTCCTTTTGCTTGTATTTTGAATAAAATTAATTAAAAGGTTGCATATTAAATTCATCTTGAATTTGCTTTTCACAAAGTCTTTCATGGTCTACACCAGCTTGACTCAACTTATTGCCAAAACTAAAACCTCAATTAAAAAGAATGAATGTTTTTGAACTACATGAGTCTAGGTATAGAAAAAAAAATGCACAAACTTCCAAGTCTCAGAGAACACAAGATTTTCCCAGTTCTCATTCACAAAAACAAATCTGACATCAAATGGCCTTAGTTTGACTCTCTATTCGAAGACAACTATTGATTTCAGCAAAAATTATAAATATATACAAAGTGAAGATTTTTATTTTACCTTTGGGCAATGGGCTACACAACAGATTGACATGCGTTGTTAATGATCAGAAAATGCTACAAATATTAGTTGTTACCATATTTCTCTTATTGTTTAGACTAATTTAACTGTATGAAGTGTTCTCCGCTAAAAATATAGAAACCTCTAGTTGAACTATGATAAGAGATAGGCTATACGATTGAATCAGCTTACTGATTTATTATTGTTATTGTTTTTGTATTTTTTTTCTACTCTATGTAAAGCTGTTCTATTTGGAAACACAATTATACTTAGCTGATGCCTATGCTTTTATCAGATTATTTTGACTCATGAGCATGCTGATGCAACTCTTGGTCTGGATGACATCCGGGCAGTGCAACCATTTAGCCCGACAAATGACATTAATCCTACACCAGTATATCTCACTCAATATTCAATGGATAGGTAAAATGGTGAATTTTTTGCTGCTTGTGTATTGAGCCATGATAACCATAGTCTTATCTAATTCATCATTAGTATTGCACTTCAACAAATGGCCGAGTCGACTTGAAGTTAATCCCTTCGAACCAGGACCATCTTCTCCATGACAACCAAAAATAGAAGGGGAAAAAATTGAAAGACGATGAAAGAAAAGATGGCATGAAAGTCTGTGTGTCAATTCCTCCACATCACTTAGATGATGCACTTAACATTTAGCTCAACATCCTGCCATGATAAAAAAATTGTGCTTTTAATATTAATTCCATGGCTGCATGCCGTTCTCATTAGTTTTGTGGCACAAGTTTTTCTTTGTACTGAAATGAGGTTTTTGTTTTTGTCAAAGCTACAACAACTAAGCCATAGTCCCAAACTCTTTGTCAACTACAGATAAAAAAATTTATTTGCATAAAAGAATGTAAAATTTTAAATTTGTTGGGTTCTCGCTATTCCTTTATGTTGTTACCTCTGCTGTAACAGTTTCTCTTTGTCCTTAATTTATTACTGAAGTACCTTGTTATTGGCTTTTCACTAACAATCGGTTATTGCATGGATTGAGAAGTATTGACACTGAGAATATGCGCATGTGTTACTAAACTTGATATGTTCTTCTGTGTCTTTTTAGAGTTTTTATATACTCATTTATGCACTATTTAGTTGTTATGCAAGTTGCTTGATTCTCCTTCGGTTCTTTTTCTGAAACAGCATTGATCAGAAATTCCCTTACTTAGTCCAGAAGAAACTTAAGGAAGGCCAAGAAATCAGACGTGTAGCACAACTTGATTGGCAGATTATTGAAAATGATTGTGAAAAGCCATTTGTTGCATCAGGGCTAGAATTTGTTCCCTTGCCTGTGAGTTTCACTAGTATCTCCTTTCATTTTAATGCACTCTCTATTTCCTTGTAAGTTGTCTTGTTTTTTAACTTGTAGACGTGGATGTAGGTAATGCATGGTGAAGATTATGTGTGCTTGGGGTTTCTTTTTGGTAAAAACTTCAGAGTTGCATATATATCTGATGTTTCACGCTTTCTTCCAACTACTGTATCATGTGAGTATTATCTATATCCCTCTGTATGTGTGGAGTTTGATCTTGATCGTTAAGGATCTTACCCTTTCACACAATGCACTGATTTTTTCAACCAGTCATTGCAATGGATTGGAATGGGGGTGGAAATACCTAACCCTGTCCCTCAACCTAGTCCCTGTTGGATACCCATTTTCACCTGTCTCAGGTTTAGCTTATTAAGCTTTTTAGTTGTCTTACCCACCAGAGATGATGGAGACACAGTAAAATTTTATATCAAGTGGAAATGGCATCGTACATGTCTTTATTGAAAATGAAGGTTGCAGCACAAACCGGTTATTTGTCACTCTTTCTTGATCTGAGCAAACATCATATCTTACTGAAAATAAGTTCTAACTTGATGAATGGATTGGAAGGAAAGTTTAAACTCCTATGGCACATAGTGATACATATCCTTCCCTTCTTTCTCAACGGCCTCATTAGTATGTGCAAAGGTTGATTCAGCTTTCTGAAACCTTTAGGTACTTGAGGAAGGGTAAAAGTGACAAAACCCCATTCTCCTTGAAGGAAATGAGAAAAAGAAAAGAGAAGTGGATTGGTTTCACTTTGCTTTTTTGTCCATTTGTTACCAAATGCAAAGCAATTTTCAAGCACCAATAGGCTGATTAAAGCTTTCCAACTGACAACCTGTTGTTTTGATCATATTGCTAAGTCTGATATATTGGGGCTATTTTGGACATAGACAAAAATTGTTGAAAAAGTCAAGAAACTTATGAAATTGATCAGAGCAGACAATTTGGTCAATGGATTTTTTCAGAACGCACTGATGTGTAAACTGATCCTTTTTTGTGTTTAAAATGGAGATCTGGGGTGCAGTCCGATATGGTTACCAAAGCTTGCATTTTTTTTTTTGTGTCGCTTTTTCTTGTTTGGGGAGAGAAACGTTTAAAGGTACTGTTACATAAACAGGTACAGATCTGAAAAAACAGAAACCTTTGAAGTTTGAACAGTTACAAACCAATAGCATACATGCAAGCTTACCTGCACATGGCGAATTATGTGAACAAGTTAACCCTGGTCTCACGGATAGTTGAAGCTGCCTGGTCTAGTCTCATTGTCTGAAATGTGTATTTTTCTGATAAATGAAGGTTGAGTTTCTTGCTAAGGAAGATTTGCTTTTGCAGACATTTCAAAAGATTGTGGTCAACAATTAGATCTGCTTATTTTGGACACGTTATACAAGGTCAGTATGGGCAACTTAAAATTTCAATTATTTGATATTATGTTGCTGAAGCCCATGGCTAGCCTGTGACATTACATTTAAAAGAGATAGAGTGTGACTCACTAGCATATCTAAGTGGTATATCTATCTTGCCTATTGGCTATGGCCACATGAACATGCTTTGGTTGTAAATTAGGACCTGATGTCTACGCGACTTTTCTGTTTCTTGATTATGCATAACAGGACTGGAAATAAGGGAGCTCATATTACGTCTACATATTCTCATTGTCGGTTATTCTTCCAGATTTCCCTTTAATAGAATAGTTATTGAATGCCCTCTTTATACCAACACAATGATTGTCACTGCGGGAGTGAATGCATTCCATTTGCCTGAGTGTGTTGTACTGTAGATATTTATTTTTGGATAACTGCGGTTTCCAAGTTAGTTTGCGCATACGTCGGCTAATGGCATGGCATCTGCTAACTCCAAAGCAGCACAGGTACCAAGTAACTTTTTAAGATTTAACCGAAAGGACCCAGTAAGTCTAAAGGAAATGGCCTTCATCTTCTTTTTCCTTTATTTTCTTCTTGTGAAGTTGAAATTAAGAAAATGACCTCCATCGACCAAGAAGGAGGCTGATCAGCGACCATGGGTTGATAAACAGCCGAGAAGGAGGTTAATTATCGAATATAGGGTTATAATCGACCAAGATGTAAATGATAATCGACCTAGAAGGAAGTTTATTTAAACCGCTACTTGTTGATGATGAACAATAGGGTGATAATCGACCAAGAAGTAATTGATAATTGACCCAGTTCCGGTTGTGATTTAATCGAAACAAATGTAACAGGTACAGAAAAAGAACAAAAAAATTAGACAATTTTTTCTAAATATTCTTTAATCTAATTAAAGGGTCATCCACCCAGTAAAAGATAATTTGAGGTCATTTACCTAATTGAAGACTTAGATAGGTCTTTTAATTAAAGGACCCTTTATCCACCGAGGCTTAAAGAGAAGAGATCGGAAGAAGTCACAGAGTTTTTTATTGCCGAGCATTTTATTGCCTTTGTTGGGATTTGAACCATGGTACCATGGCCCATTCTAGCTTTATGAATGCTGGAAATTACTTGGGTGCTAGATATGTTTCAATTTCTCTAAAATGGTCCTGAAAACATGAAAGACAGCCTAGAGATCGAACCCAAAAAGTTAACTTCGATTTTAGAAAAATGAAATGTAGTCCGAAGTGCATGCTTTGAGTGGTTGAGATATAAGGAGTAATAACTTAGAGATCCCAGTCTCGATCAAAGGGATATTAAATGAATGGAATTAGGTCCTTGCTACAACTTTCGGTTTGAGCCCATCTCTCATTCTTCAGTGAGAAGGTTTACCCAGCTTCTGCGCTTGTGGATTGTTGTAAGTTCCCCAGTGAATTAGTCGAGTGCGTGCAAGCTGGCCAGACAAAAATAAAATACATATACATACCTCTTAAAGTCCAAATGTAGGTTTACGTAATGTTGTTGTAATTCTTCAAATTTCTGCACTCATATGTTAAACCATGATTCAAACCTGGCTCAGGTTCTCTGTTTCATAATTTTACTTTTCAAATGTAGTTATATTTCGTTGGCTTTTAAGTTTAAAAGGTCAAAAGACTAAACTGATTACCTGTTTGCTGTTCTTATTTTGTGTTTTTGGACTTCTTTTCAGTGTTATTTATGTCAAAAACACGAATATTGTCATATGATAGTATACAACAACATACCCAGTATATTCCTATACTTAGGGTCTGGGGAGGGTAGTGTGTACGCAGACCTTATCTCTACCTAGTGAAGGTAGAGAGGTTGTTTCCAATAGACCCTCGGCTCAGAAAAGTAGAGAGGAGAAGAAGAAGCAGAGGGAGAGAAAGAAGAAGAAAAAGAAAGAAAGAGGGGGGGGGGGGAGAACAGAGTAAGGCCTCATTTATTTTTTTTAAGATTAAGACGTCTGAATCTGAATACACATTTGAATATCAAGATGTGTATTAATATTAAGACATCTGAATCTGAATACACATCTGAATATATTAAGATGTGTATTAAGATCTGAATAGAAATAATTAAGACTGTTTGATTTTTAACATCTGAATGTATTAAATTTATCTTTATTAGAAAATTAATAAACATAAAATTCAAATAAAATACTAACTAATCTAATATTCTATTAATAAAATATGACAATTGTTAGTGGTGATGGCTAACGGGTGATGCCAACTAGAGGTGGTGGTTGGTGGTAGTTTTGGTTGATGATGGTGGTTCATGCTAGTAGCTAGTAGTGATTGGTAGTGGTGGTGATTATGATTGAGGATGGTGGTGGTTGGTAGTGATAGTTAATAATGGCGGGTGGTGATAGTAGTTGTGAGTGAGATAGGTGGTGAGTGGGTGGTGGTAGGTTATAATGATGGGCAGTGCCGACTGAGGTTGTTGATGGTGATGGGGTGGTCAGTTGTGGTAGTTGAGGTGGATGAGGGTTGATTGTGGGTGAGAATGATATATGGTGGTCGGAGTGGTGGGGATAGTGGGTGGTGATGGTCGATAATGATGGCGGCTATGATTGAGGATGATAATGGCGTGGTCGTGGTCGTGGTGGTGGTGGTTGAGTACGGTGGTTAGTGTTGTCAAAGGCGCGCTTAAAGCGCGCTTAAGCCCTGAAGCGAGGCTCAAAACATGTTGAGCGCTTCGCCTCGTTTTGTGGGCCCTTTAGTGTCGCATCAAAGCTCTAAGGCATACTTTTCCTTGCCAATGAGTGTAATCCAGAAAAGGCGACCTTAAACAATTGAAATTTCACTTTACCGTGAATTTTTTTCAATATCTTTGTCCATATATTTGTTATTCATGCTTATAATGATTAGTCTTGGACTACATGCATATTTTTACTTTTTCTCCCGTTGCGCCTCTTTTCATTAAAGCGCACGCTTTATTTGCGCTTTGCGCTTAAAGCCCCAACGGACCTTAGAGCTTTTTTGCGCTTTTCGCCTTTGATAACACTGCGGTGGTAGTGGTGGCATGGTGGTAGTTGGTGATGGTAAGCGATAGCGGCAGTTAATAATGAATATATGATACCATCTTAATGAAATTAAGTCTCTGTTATAGATCTTAATCATACAGACCTATTCAGACCCATTAAGTGGCTGTGAAGTTAAAAAAACAAACACACTTAATAATTAAGATCTAAATAATTAAGATTCAGACTTTAAAAACAAAAGCACTTAATGTCTGAGATCTGAATGATTAAGATTCAGACCTCCATTAAGTGCAAACAAAGGAGGCCTAAGTAGCACCAAAATGGGATAGTATACTGCTGTTAATATTTCAACTTTTTTTTAGTAATAACAAGAATTATTTATTTGTGCTATGCATATATGAACTAGGCCCCTATTTAAAGTGTATGGCTGTTCCTGTGCACTATCATACTCCACGTATCGTCCCTACGAATGTTCGCCGAGGTCAAATTATTGGGTTGGTCTGTTTCTTGAAAGGAGTTGAAAGGATACCACTTTGTTGCCCTTGGAGGGATAATCTGAAGAAAATGTTAATCTTAAGATTGTTATGCTTCCTATTTCCTCCTCCCTTTCTTCCCCTTTTTTTGTTTAATTATTTCCTTCTAATCCCGTTTTCTCTACTCCTTCCCTTTCCGACTCCTTCCATCCAAGCAAAACCCCTGTGGAAATGCTCCTCTCAACTCTTCCTACAAAACAAGAGAAGTTCTGCTCTTGTCAATTCTTACAGCTTGAATCCTCTACATTGCTGCAGTCATTTAACTGTAACACTGTTACTCTGCTGATTAGTATTTTAAGATATTGTACTTTTTTGCATACAATAATATAATACCATTAAGTTCACAAGCCTGGACTATACCATCATCCATTATCCATTAAACAGAAGTCTGGACTCTTGTGATGGAAAAATGGGTAAAATGGATTACCCATTCGGTTCCAGCTTATCCATCAACACTCTGTCTATTCAGAATATAACAGAACTCCTACTAGCTATTCACGACTCTACCAGCCAAACTATACTTTACATGCTTTGAGTAAATGTTATATTTCCAGTAAGAAGTATATTGAAGAGTTCGTCTCGGCTTGTAGAAAATCAAAGTTTATTAGAAGCCTGGTCAAATTCCTGAAAACTTAGCTTTTTATGATTCCATTTGCAATAATCCGGCAAAAGGAGGATTATTCAGAGTGGGCTCAATAGATAACGGGGATGAAATAGCGATTGGATGGTTAATTGAAGACGCAACCCTATTCATTTATTCATTCGACCCAACTTTATTTTGTTGTGGTCCAAGAATTCTAACACGGTTTTTTATTACACGTAAATGATATGTGGAACCATAAATCCAAATCAAGTATTTTTTGAATTCTTTATTTTATTTTTGATTTTATTAAGTTCAACTAATTTCATTTCTACAGAATAACTGATAAGCAAATTCTGTAGGTATAGATTTTATGAATGAAAAAGAATGTGGAAAGAAAAAGGTTCAATTTCTTATCAAAATATGGCTGTGGGAAATTAGATTTTAGAAATTGGGAAGGATGAAATGGACTTTAGGTTGCATTTGGAGGATGCACTACATAACTGAAGTTTTAGAAACCCATATGAGGTGCTTGTTCATGGTTAGAACAGAAAAAGGGGAAAGTTGAAGGTGCTGCATGCAGTGGAATTTTCTCATACAGAGGTATAAAAGGAATGCTCATCCAATTTAAGAAAAGCATCATGCTTGTTTTCACTCTGATGCACCTGAATATATTTGCTCTCTAGGTGTATACCATGTGATGCATGCAGCATCTACTCCCCACCCCACCCCACCCCACCCCACCCCCACCCCACTCCCCAAACAAAAAGAAAACTGATGTCTTAGACTCACAAGTATCGTTCTTTTTGTGTGCTCTGTTTAGCCGTTTCCAGTTTTATTGAATTTCCCATAATGTGGTGGATCTTATTATATACAGGTAGAGTGCTTTTTTATTATAATGTTGGAGATTTGAACCCATAAATATTATTTTTTTTGAGTTTTAGCTCCCTCTGCTTAGCTGTTTCCAAATTTGTTGGATTTCCCTCTAGGTGTGCATTTTATTATATACATGGAGAGGGCTGTGCTTAAGTGTAATATTTACATTAAAAAGAAGGTAAAAAAAGTTGTTTCTCTAATACAAATGCTGGCATTTAAAGATAAATGGTAGTGAGCTGTCTTTTTCATGCGTTGTTTTCTGCATATTTTCACATCTAGGATTTACGTATAAAACAATGTCACTGGCAAGGGAGAGTTTCTTTTCATTAGGCTATTTACGTGTTGTTCTTCCTTCTACTTAATTTATATTCTAATATATATGGTGTTTCATCTTCAATATGCACAGAACGGTTCCCACAATGTTCACCTTTGCCTTACTCAGGTATGCTTACTTTATAGGAACTCTCCCATTCGACCTTTGTGTTGTTTACGCCCTATTTACAGATTTGAAAATATTTAAATTTCCAGACTCTTGAGGCATTGAAGATGCTATGCCCAAAGAGAGCTCTACTAATTGGAATGACACATGAATTTGACCACCACAAAGACAATGAGTTCCTAGTGGAATGGTCTAGAAGGTATATCGTCTAATATGATTCTTTAAAAGGGGGGAAATTTAATGGTTAGCAGTTTGTCTGGAACTTACACGATTATTTGCTTGCAGGGAAGGTATAGAAGTTCAACTTGCACATGATGGATTGAGGGTCCCTGTTGACCTATAAATAGGTAATGTTAATATTTCAGACACACGTCTTGCACGAAAGAACTTCCTTAAATTATCTACTTTCATTTGTTTTCTCACTTTCATGGTATTGACGAGCTTAATTGAAAAGTCAGTAATTAGAGAATATTAGGACTCATAATAGATGATCCCCCAAACCAAGGAACATGCAACTCCTTGATGATTGTGATGTACAAATTCACTAGTGTTACGGATCTAAGCAACTGCAACGTTCCCATTCTATGTACTCCAAAATTAGGAGAGTTTTGACATCATTTGGGGAGTCTAATCATCAATGGTTCTTCTGTCAGCATGAGCTAAAATATTCAACCATGCTCTTGACCTTTATGACGTTAGTGATCACTGATTAAACAGTTGATCACATTATTGAAAAGAACAAGAACAATATTGATACTGTCTTTAAAGGAATGATAAAGACAAATTACAAGTCCTTGATATAGAAGCTTCTCTGACATGATTTTATGTAGATGAATTTTGGTTTTACTTCATTTGGTATGCCAAAATGTTCTGTGGAAAATCTTTTCTTGAGTTTAGTGATCTAAATGAGTACCAATGTCGTCTGAGGATGAAAATTAATTTTCTCTACTCCTACAATATTCAACTTCCAACCTCCAATTATTTAGTTTTCTATTAGTTTTTGCTACTCACAAGTCACAACTATTATCAATTGCTATTCACCAGGTGTGACCTGCACTTTCACAACTTCTACAGTTTCTAGCTTTTATGTCCAAATTTATTGACGAGATAGTTTTCAGAATGTTCCATATTATACCAAGTCATAATCTCAATCAGATGATACTGCTCTTTTATGGACAAAAGAGAATGCCCAAAGACTAAGAAACACTTTGATAGCAGCCTTTTGATCTGTTATTGCAGGTAGACTATAAACACTGCCCATTGGAACTACTGATGATCACACCTGAGATTCTGACCTGTAACAATAATGCAAGGAGAGGATAGTTGTATCAGTTGTCTGTATTAAATATTAATCCAGATGCAATTAGCTGGCACATGATGTAACATTGATATCGATGTTCACCATATATTACTTGTGTATGTTCTTGTATTCTTGTCATTTTCTTGATTACAACGTGTGTCAAGTCGAATGCTAGTCATTTTTTAAGCTTTCACAAAATGAAGAGTTAACTTTGAGGCGAGTAATTGCTTAGCTAAGCAAAATGAAATAATCAATCAACAAAGAGCTTTTTAATTGATTTTGGTTGTATAAAGCTTGTTTTAAAATGGAACACAGAGAGGATATGGAAATTTTCTGATGGAACTTCTTTTCCTAAAGGGCCATTTTGAGTTAAAAAGGACTAGTAAATATGTACACTGATCCAGCTATCAGCGAGAAAAAGACGTTTAGAGAAATATAATGCAATTTCAATTACTAAATATCATGTTGGAACAAAACGAATATCCTGGATTTGAAAATCTATCTCGATAAGAATAATGTGTATTAAAAATCATGATTTGGTTTATCAAACAAGTTTCAAAGTTAGAGCATTGCAACATGTTCCTCCTATTAAGTTCAACGGCGCCATTGAATTAGCTTATTAATCTTGTATAGAAGTGCCGAATTATATACATATTTTATAAGACGAATTAACCCAAATAGCCCCGCCTACCTTACCACATAAACTAAAAATAGCCGGTGAATGTATAATGAGCCCGTTTGAATTAGCTGATTGTAAATAGCTGATAAGTATGAAGTGCTGAAAAACATTTTTAAATGTTGAAATTGATTTTTTAAATAAGCATTTACATGTTTGGATAGAAGTGTTGAAACTGATAATAAGTAGTTGATGTGTTTGGTAAAAAATTGCTGGATAAGCTGTTCTTTTATTAAAAAGACTAAAATACCCTTAAAACTTTACAAAAGATTATGAATTAAAAAGTTTTTTTTCGTAAAGAAAAGGGTGAACAACGAATATAGAATGAAGAGAAAGTTAAAAAATTTATTTTGGGAAAAGTATTCTGTGAATTACAAAATATTATTAAGGGTAAACTAGTAAAAGCCTGGGTAAAACTAAAAGTGCTTATAAGTTGAAAAGCCACAAGTTGAGTGTGACCAACTTATGACTTATCCAAACACGTAAATGCTTATTTAAGCACTTGGCTTATAAGCACTTTGGGTGTTTACCAAACGTGTAGATAAGTCAAAATATGCTTATAAGCCAGTTTGACCAACTTATAAGCTTAGTCAAACACCCTCAATATATGCATAATTGATATATCTCATGTGTATAATCAATATATAATCTATGTATATAGCTAGAAAAAGTAAACAATTAATATGGCTGACTATTTGTGTAAAGATCCCGATTAATGATTTTAGATTCTGGATTCATCTATACTCATTAGTGCTTTATTCAAATTGAAAGACTAGTCTAGAGGTTCAATGAACCGAATGGGACTTTTTCATACATGGTGAACTGATTGATAATAGCTTCGAGAAAATCTGGCCCTATTTGACAAACATGTTCCCTTTAATATTCTTCATCGGACGTGATCAATTGAGATATGAACAAAGCATGCACCCTCAGTTCCATTTTATGTAACGCTCTCTTTTACAATGTCTGAAAAAGAATTGAACTTTCGATTTTATTTAATGAATGATTTATAATTACATGAATTTCTATGATTTATTTTTTATGGCATTTTTAAAAAAAAAAAAAATCCTTTTTTCTTAAATTGTGTGTCATGTCAAATAGTATCACATACTTACAATAGATGTCAAGATACTCCCTCCGTTTCAATTTATGTGAACCTGTTTGACTGGACATAGAGTTTAAGAAAAAATAAGACTTTTGGAATTTGTGGTCCTAAGCAAGTTAAAAAGGGGTCCAGAGTATTTGTGTGGTTATAAAAGCTTCTCATTAAGGGTAGAATTGTAACTTTAAGCTAAATTATTGCCAAATTTAAAAAGAAAACCATTCTTTTTGGAACGAAAAAAAAAAGTTCTCATAAACTGGAACAGAAAGTACTTATTTGGGTCATATATGATAAGTCTTCCAAGGTGGGCAGCGCAGGTTACAGTTTCTTTGACTGATTGATTAACAGACACTGTTTCTAGTTGTTTGTGGTGAATTTTGATATTGATAAGACTTGTCGTGTTGATAGAGAAATATGACAACACATGTTTTTATAACGTGCTCAATGAAAAATACCAAGATGTAATCCTAAGAAGCTATGGAAAAGAAAGCTTTTGAACAGAGTTGGTTAAACTTTACTGCGATGATAATAACGTAGGGGACGTCCTGCAAAAAAATAGCTCGAAGACGGGATGATAAAAAAAACTTAACACCTCTCATTTTTATTATTTTTTAATATAAAAAAAAATCAAAAAGTCATTTTATTTAAAAACTTCAATTATGATATCTTTTTTCTTTCACTTCACGATTCGAAACGCACCCTTCTGATAGAGACAACACGCTAAATGGAAATCAGGAGAGAATTAAAGGGGGAAATAGAGAGAGATATTATTTCATCTTCAGTGTTATGAGCAATACAAGAATTTCCCACTAATCTTTCCCCAATCAATTACTAATAGGCGCTCCTTATCTACAACATGTAATGACAAACAAGTCTATTCTTCCCATATTAATTTGGCATAGAACAGTTTGTCGACTGATAATAATGTAAGAGTTAGTGGCAGCTTATATTTAATCAGGGCCAGACCCAGCTTATTATAAATGAGTTTCCGTGAACTCAATAACTTTTACACATACTTTGTATATATATTAAATTTTTTACTAAATATCGATAAATATTTGATTGTGAACCAAGCTACTTATTGTATATTTACTTAAGGTTGCAACAATTACAACCCCTCCCCCCCTCCCAATTGCACCACGGAAGTTTCTCTCTCTAAAGCTCGCCGTACCAAACACTCTGACTTCGAACACTCCGTCACAAACGGTCACCTAGAGCCAGTAACGGCTAGTTTCAACTAGCTCTCGTGACCACATGGACAACACCAGAGGCCCCTCAAGCTCCTCCCAGATCCCCAAGTCGCATGACCCACCGGATCTTATACCTAACAACCAAATCCCAAAGATCCAAAATTTTTCACCACTTCAAAGAAGACCCATGGAAGTAGATGATACCTCAATTCAAAACCAAACGGGCTCTTATGCAGATGCGCTGGGGTTCATGGTCGGGAATAGAGCAAAATTGAAGGTGAGACTACCACCCAGAAAGCATGAAATGATAGATGGAAAAGTTGTGGTAGTATTCACCAAAGAAGAGCACGAGCTGTTGGCAGAAACATACTGATGGACCATTGTTGGTAAGTTCCTAACTAGCAGACCTTCAATCGACAAAATTAGAGCTGAATTTGCTAAACAATTTCTACTAAAGGAGAGGTCAAAACTAGAGCTAAAGACAGATACCATGTTTTTATTAATGTTGAAAATGAAGAAGACTTTAACAATATATACTCTAGAGATTTCACTCTCCTAGCTGGAGGGATCAGTATGAAAATTATCAAATAGACCACTAATTTTAAGCCTGGGTCTGAAACGTCCCTAACTCCAATTTGGATTAACCTTCCAGATTTACCATGACACTACTATGAATGAGATGCTCAGTGTAGGATTGTTAGTCCAATAGGCATACCTTTGGTTATGGACAAGGCCACAACCACGAAAACTAGGCCCACAACTACTAAGCTAAGAGTTCAAATTGATCTTGCCAAACCTTTACTTCATATGGTAAGAGTGGAGGTTAGGAACCAGTTTGGAAAAATGGAAACATTTGATCAAAAAATAGAATATGAAACTACGCTCGCCTATTGCTCACACTGCAAAGTTCAAGGTCACTCTTTAGATAAATGCAGGGCTGTACAATATGAAAAACAACAAGAAGGAGGGCAAACTGTTATGGATGGAAAGAAGATAATGTGGCACATATCACTCAGCATAGCAATATGAAGCAGATTACTGTCAATAATCAAGAACAAAGAAGGAATATAGAACAGATGAAGCCTAAAAGTACATTGCCCCAGGCAGGAAGAATGCACAGTCAGAACAATCAAAATGGCAAATGGCAAAATGTGAAAAGAAGAAGGGGAAAAGGGATGAACTACAATGGGGCATCAATGAGCCAGCAACAAAATAAGAACAACAATGAGAAGGTTTCAGATCAAAGAACACACCAGGGAAACAATAGAACAGAGGTCAACAATTCCTTCAATCTCCTACAAGACGGAATAGAGAATGGTCTAATTGATACCACAATCTGCAAGAATGTGAATATGGAAGAACAAGACTCTACACAAGATCTCTAGGACACACAGTAACAAGAAAGAACCACAAGGTGGGACAAAGCTCAGAAAGATAAAGAAAAAGAAAAAAGAAAAAAACAGCTAATAGGGCTCAACATAAGAAATACTAGAACAAGGATTGCTACCAACTACAATAATGTTGATCTGAACTACAAGGAGAGATGATCATCTTAGTTATCAAAGACCCAAAGAATTGCAAGGAATTGCACAACAAAAAAAAGAAATTTACAAAGACAATAAGCATTCCAGAGGGCATTACACTACAAGGAACAAGAGATATCAATAGAACAGTCAAGAGAAAGGGTACTAATAAGAAGGGCACATGGACCCCTATTAACATCCCCAAAATAGGGTAGGAGAGGACTGGATCTAGTAGAGTGGAATATAGATGTTGGGGAGCAAAATAGGAACAAAGACCAAGAGATTAGATACAATACTAGTCATGAACCACATGATCCAAATCCTTCAATTGATGAAGAAAGGGATGGATAAGAAGAAGTCTTTCATGACTTAGATGTTATGGAGACAGACTCGACAGTAAACAACAATGAGGAAGAAAGAAAACCTCAGTCTTTTGATGAACTCACTAGAGTTAATATCAACTCAGTCAACCAGAATTTGGAGTATACTGAGCGTACACTAGTCTATCAAAACATCATTTTATATGACAATCTTTCACCCAAGAACTATCAAAACTAGGGTGTGGATTTCATTCAAGAATGCTAGATCACAGATTAAATCAAGGAAGAGCCAAAAGAACCTACCCCTAAAAGTTTCAAACAATAGACACACTATCATGGAATATAAAGGGGAATAGGTTCTGCAGGATCTTTGGAGAGACTCCAAACCATCAAACAACAATTTCAAATCCCTTTGATCTGTTTACAGGAACCTCTTGTAGACAGTGGTAAAATGGATAGATACAGAAGAAAACTAGACATGAACCATGATTTTTTCAATTGCTCAAACAAAATATGAATATTCTGGACTGCTGAAGTGGATGTTACTACAATACAAGATAAGGAGCAACATGTCTTCATTAGTGTAAAATATCTCAATCACCCTTATATCTTCCAAACAGTTGTCTATGTTAAATGCAATGGGAAAGTAAAAGAGAGCTATGGCAGGACCTGAAGAATACATCCAACAACATTCAAAGAGCTTGGGGTGTCATTGGAGACTTTAATATTATCACCTCCAGTGAAGAAAAAAAAAGGATAGAAGCTACAAATTGGAGGAAAGCCTTCACTTTATAGAATGCCTTAATGAGTGTGGTCTTCAAGATGCAGGTTTCAGAGGGTCAATATATACATGGTGTGATAACAAAGACCCTCCTATCACTATTTGGAAGAGACTGGATAGACTTGTCTACAATAGTGCATGGTTTGATACTTTATCAAGTACCTCAGTTACTCACACGTCAAGAGCCTGCTCTGACCATGCCCTCTGCTTGTCAAAATGAGTAATGAGGTTACTAACCATATCAAATCTTTCAAATTCCTTAATTTTTGGACTGAACACCAAGACTACATCAAGACAGTGAAGGATACTTGGGAAGAAGAAGTATATGAGAACCCTCTATATACACTCCATAAGAAAATCAAATATGTGTGTAAAGCCCTAAGTGTGTGGTCCAGACAGGCTTTTGATGATATCTATGAGGTTCCCAAAAGATTGGAACCAGAAATGAGAATACTGGAGGATAACTGTGTTAATGATAACTCCTTTGAAAACAGAAGTGCTCTCTCTATATGTAGAGCAGAATTCACAAAATACTTCAAGATTCAAGAGAGTATTCTGAGACAAAAAGCTAGAGACAAGTGGTTTAAAGAAAGTGATGCCAACACAGCCTACATCATAGTGTTATAAAGGAAAGGAGAAGAAGGTTGACCATTACTAAGATAATGGATGACCAAAACCAATGGCTGGAAGGAAATGATAGTATTGCAGAAGCAGCTATGAGACATTTTCAAGGGATGTTCACTCAGGAATCTCAGACCACTAATTTCAATGCTCTTAACTGTATAGAGAGGTGTATCACCGATGAAAACAACAACATGCTTATTGTCATCCCTACTATTCATGAAATTAAAAGCTGTGTTTACTATGGACAAGGATAGTGCTCCAGGACCTGATGGACTAAGTGGCTATTTCTATTAATCTGCCTGGGATATTATATGCAATGATCTTCGTAAGGCAGTGGAATCTTTCTTTCAAGGTGCTAAACTACCTAAGGTTTTCACACACACATACTTGGTAATGATTCCCAAAATAGACCACCCTAAAAAATTCTGATCTCAAACATGTTAGCCTTTGTGACTCCTCTAGTAAAATCATCTCAAAAATCCTTAATAGCAGAGTATCAAACATCCTTCCTAAGCTTATAACCAGAAATCAATCAGGTTTTATAAAATGGAGAGCTATCACAGAAAATATTCTTTTGGCCCAGGAAATTATCAATGATATTAAGAAGTCATCTAGAGGTGAAAATATTGTTATTAAGTTAGATATGGCTAAAGCTTATGACAAAGTCTCCTGGGACTTCTTATGCATGGCACTTAAGAACTTAGGCTTCTGTGATTGGTGGATACATCTTATTCACAACTACATATCCAACAATTGGTACTCTGTTATTATAAATGGAGGAAGGCATGGTTTCTTCAAATCTAGTAGGGGTCTGAGACAAGGAGACCCAATCTCACCATCTCTTTTTATCATCAGTGCTGAACTCCTATCCAAGATGCTAAATAATCTTCATGACAGACAAGGTTACAAATTTTTTTACATGAGTGTCAATGGTCCCAAAATAAATCACCTTTCTTTTGCTGATGATACCATCCTATTTTGTAATGGTAGTAAAAAGCCTCTTCAAATGATTTTAAAAACTCTTGAAACATATGAGAAAGTCTCGGGCCAACTCATCAATAAGGAAAAAAACTGCTTTGCTGTAGCTAATAATGCTAATGTTGCTACTATTAATAGAGTAAGGACCATCGCAGGTATGAACCATCAACATTTTCCCATCAAATATATTGGGTGCCCTCTTATTAGTGGAAGAAAGAAAATATGCTACTACTCTGATATTGTCAACAAGATTATTAATAATATTAGAGGTTGGCAAACAAAGTTTCTATCTACGGGAGGAAGAGCTATCTTAATTAGACATGTGTTACTGGCCTTACCTGTACATCTTCTTGCTGCCACAAATCCTCCCAAAGGTACCATTGATATCATAGAAAAATATATTGCAAGGTTCTTTTGGTCAGGGAATGTTACAGGTGGTAAATACCATTGGACCTCTTGGAACAAATTGTGCTACCCTTATAATGAAGGAGGTGCCAACATCAGGTGTTTATCTGACATTTTTCATACTTTTCAAAGCAAGCAATAGTGGACACTGAGAACTACAAACTCACTGTGGAAAGAATTCATGCAAGGAATTTTTTTTACAACACTCATCCATCTAATGCTCAATGGACTTCTGACCAATCTCAGAGCTGGAAAACTCTATGCAGTATTAAAGAGGATGTGGATAACAACATCTTATGGAGCAATGGTGCAGGAGAGGTGTCTTTTTGGTACGACAAATGGTCAAACTTAGGTCCTCTCTACCTTCTCCTCTAAGACACGAATACACAGAACCAGATCAAAGTTAATGAGGTCCTCATTAATGGGTGTAGGGATTGGAGCAGACTTCAAGTGCAGCCAGATGAAGAAACTAAAAGGAGAGTCAAGGATCTAAACATCAAGCTATGCAGAAATAAGGTGGACAAAGCCATATAGATGCCAAGCAATACAGGATAATTTACTGTTAGCTCTGCTTGGGAGACGTTTAGATAGAGAAAGGAAATGAACAGATATATTAGTGGGGTTTGGCACAAAGAAGTTCCCTTCAAGATCTCTTTCCTCACATGGAGAGTTATCCAAGATAAACTGTCTACAGAGGATAGAGTCGCAGGATTTGGGATTGAAATTGATCCTATATGCCACTGTTGCAACAATAACAATCAAAATCTTATTACTGAGAATGTTGATCATCTCTTCTGCTTGGGAGAACATGCAAAGAAGATATGGAGATTCTTTGCTGGTCCTCTGGGCATTGATTATAACAACATGAACCTCAAAATGCTCCTTCTTAAGTGGTGGAACTTCAAGGCTCGCAATTGCATTGCGAAACTCATTACCAGAATTCTTCCTCTTATTATTTGTTGGGAGTTATGGAAGTCAAGATGTAGCAAAAAATTTGAGAACATTAGACTATCTTTTTACAGAACCAAAACTAATATTTTGTTTACTCTTGTGCAGATACTAAACAGTAGTTTTGGTAGAGCAAGACTAGGAGAAGATTGGCAAACAATATATGTGGCGTGTGAAGCAGTGATAGAGCGGAGGATATTAAAAATTATCAAGTGGAACAAACCCTCATTCCGAGCTGTTAAACTTAATAGTGATGGGAGTTGTATTCAAGGAACGTGTGGTGGAGGAGGCCTGGTCAGGAATAATCAGGGAATAGTTATTTTTGCCTACTTTATTCCTCTAGGACCAGGGACTAGCAACTTTGCAGAAGCAACATCAATGCTCTTTGGAATCAAATGGTGTGCTGCAAATGGTTATAGGCTAGTCTTGGGAGAAACTGACTCAATGCTCATCACTAGATGCATTAGAAGAGAACAGAAAGTTCCCTGGAGGATTAAGAGCATCATCACTGAGATCCAGGATATAGTTGAAGAGCATGGATTTGTTATCATCCATTGTTTCAGAGAAGCAAACAGACCTGCAGATAAACTAGCAAGTCTCAGCCATAGTAGTGATATGATCCATGTATTCAACTCTTTTGCTGATCTCCCTAATCAAGTCAAAGGACTCGTCAACATGGATAGATGGGATCTACCATCGTTTAGAATCAAAACTGCCAAACCAGGACATATCACATCTAACCCACCATAGTTTTTGTATAGTCATCTACATTTTTGGTTAGGACTAACAACAGTTGTCTCATCTCAATGATCATGTACAAAGTTTGGGATGCCAAACTCAACATGTAACTTTTCGCGCATAAATGATCAATGCAGACAATGTTTTAACCTAAAACAAAACTTAAAGTTGCTACAGGAACCTATAAACTTTAAATCTTGGATCCGCTTATGTATTTAATTATTTATTTTGCTTGAGTTCCTCGAATATAAAATCCTAGTGGTGAAATGTATTGAATTGTATATTTGCTTGAGTTCCTCAGATTGATAAAGTTTTAGTGGTGAATTGCATTGATATCTTTTTTTATTATTTATAAATGCTTATTTCTTTAAGTTGCATTCACATTCTCATAAATTATTGTCTTTTTTCCATTTCTCACTGTGATTAATATACATTTTGGAGTCTCGATTAATTCGAATTCGAGTTGCATGAGATCATTAAAAGGAGGGAAGCGTTTCCTATTAGGATCTTTTCTATTTTCAGGATTCAATTTCGAGATTACTGGTTAAGAGTGGAGAGATTCTATCCATTTCACCATAATATTTGATGGTAAAAAACTATAATTATTGTCCGGAAAAGNACTAATGCACCAATAGTCCACTAATTTAGTAAAGTCTTCTTATTTTTTTTTTTTTATTTTTTACAAAAAACAATTCAGTTTTTACAAAAAAAATATTTTTTTTAGTTTTTTTAAAGCATTTTTTTTGTAAAAACTGGAAAAAAATTGTAAAATCAGAAAAATAAAAATGTATTCAATAAAATATTTATTTTTTTAAAAACTGAAAAAAATATTTTCAACCAAAATATTTTTGTTTTTGAAAAATATATTTTTTCCAGTTTTTTTTAAAGCATTTCGTTTTTCAGTTTTTTTAAAGAAAAAATATTTTCGTTTTTTTAGAAAAACTGAAAAAATGAAAAAAAAAATACTTTTCAAAAACGAAAATATTTTGTTGAAAATNTTGTAAAACTTAAAAAAAATATTTTGCAAATTATTTTTGATTTTTTAAACTAATGCACCAATAGTCCACTAATTTAGTAAAGTCTTCTTAATTTTTTTCAGTTTAAAAAAAAACAATTCAGTTTTTACAAAAAAAAAAATTTCATTTTTTTCAGTTTTGTAAAGCATTTTTTTTTTGTAAAAACTGAATTTTGCTTTTTGTAAAAACAGAAAAAAATGTTTTTAATAAAATATATTTTTTTCATTTTTTCAGTTTTTTTAAAGCATTTCGTTTTATTTTTGTTTTTCAGTTTTTTTTAAGAAAAAATATTTTCGTTTTTTTAGAAAAACTGAAAAAATGAAAAAAAAAATACTTTTCAAAAACGAAAATATTTTGTTGAAAATATTTTTTCAGCTTTTAATAAACTAAAATATTTTATTAAAAACATTTTTTCTATTTTTACAATTTTTTTGAGTTTTCAAAACAAAAATGAAAAAAGAATATTTTTTTGTAAAAACTGAAAAAAAAAGAAGGCTTTACTAAATTAGTGACTATTGGTGCATTAGTTTAAAAAATAAAAATATTTTGAAAAATATTTTTTTTTAAAGTTTTACAAAAAGAATAATAATTATTTTTAATTCAGCATTGACCTAACAGTCAAAGGGCATAAGTGATCCAAAAAGGTGGATGGAGGGGTATTTTTAGCCCAATAGCTGGATGAAGGGTATTTTTAACCTTTTCCAATAGTTTAGGGGCATTTTGAACCCTTTTTCGATTATTGTCTTATCATGAAAACCAGTATAACAATAATTGGAATTGAAAATCATATGATATTGTGATGTTATCTTAGTGTTACTTTTTTTTTTCCTTAGCTTTAGTTAAGCAGGGACTTTCTAAATATGCTTATGTTAAAATTTCAAACTTCAAGCCTTACTGGAGAAACATTTTCCTACTTGTCCACCGTTTTACTAGTTCTAAACCTTATTGAAGTCTCTATTAATGTTCTTACCGATCTATTTCTTTTGTCATAACACTACAGACGCAAGATAGCAATAAAAGGGGGTGGGGGGTTAGTTAGATCCTTAGTAAATTATTGACCACACAAATAGAAGAAAAGAGTACATTATGTAAAAATTGCACGGGGCACCTTATTTGGTCGCCCCCATTATAACCTATACCCATATTTTTAAAATTCTTTAACCTATATCCTAATTTTGACAACTTCAGACGCCTCCTCTTCTTCCTCCTGACCCATGCGCTCCTTTCTTCCTACTCTTCTTTTCCTCTTCTTCTTTTCTCTCTCAAACATATGAGACTTTGTATAAGTATTATTGATTGGTTCTGTAAAGTTACATTGTGAATAGTTTAATGAATTTAGATTCTTGAAAGTTGTATAAGAGTTAGAATGGTGTCAAACATTTAAGATTGTCCAGAACAGAACCTCCATATAAATTCCTTGCACCAGAAGACCATTTCCAACCATGAAAACCTCATCATCCAAAGTGGACGAGCAACTGGTGTACACTTGAGTTTGCTTCTCTAAATAGTGTGTAGAAATAAGGGAGATACATGTATCGCTTCCCTAATCAATTATGTATTTCTTTCTCTGTAATGGACATAACAACTTCAACTCTAACAATGTTGAAGTTTACCAAATATAAAACAAAAAATTTAGCTCCTAGAATGCTGATGTTCAGCAATTACAAAACAAAAACTTCAGCCAAAATATACTGAAGTTTTATTGAACCGAAGTTTGCCATTGCACTATGAACTGAAGTTTGCGTGATTGTCTTTGCATGTCACGCCAAACTTCAGGCAAATATATCTGATGTTTTGCTTTGATAAGGCTACACTTCAGGCAAAACATTCTGAAGTTCAAACTTCAGACATAAATTTTTGCTACTTCAGGCCCGTATTCTGAAGTTACTCGAAAAGCGGGTACACTTACAATTTTTTGTGCAAAGCGGGTATATGTTAAAAGGTGACCCAAAAACTGGATATAAATGCAAAATGCCCGTAAATTATAGACCTTTTTTTTTTTTACTTCCTCGTGGGCCTGTTCAATCTGAATTTGTGCTGTATATATGACTTATAAAGGGAGAAATAATCATGTTCAGATTATTATTTTATTTTCATAGCTTGAACCGGTAGAAGGAATCCTATCCAAGATTTTGACTTAAATATAACTTTGTTGATCTATATTAATACATGGCTTGTACTTAGGTAGCTATGTTTAAATTTTCAAACATGTCTAATTGAATATACTGCTCCCTTACGACTTCTTTTGTCGGATGGCTTTGGTCATCTAGTTTCGAGTTTGGTTTCTGACTCATCAACTTTCCAGTGAAAAATTATAGTCTGTTTGGCCAAGGTTTACCAAAGTCAAAATATATATTTTTTTCCGAAAAAATACGTTTTTTTTTTAAAAGTTGAAGTGTTTGGTCAAGGTTTTGCAAGAAAAAAAAAGTGATTTTGAGTCGTAGCAGAAGTAGCTTTGGAAAAGCACAAAAAAATTATTTTTTCTCAAAAGCACTTTTTTGAAAAACAATTAGAAACATTTTTTGAAAGCTTGGTCAAACACTAGTTATTGCTCAGATATGCTTTTCAAATTAATTGGCTAAACACACACAAAAAAAATACTTTTCAGAATAAGCTAATTTTTGAAGCTTGGCCAAACAGGCTATTACCCAAGTATTGCAAGGTTGGATGCAAAAAATCATCTTTTATTTTTATTTTAAATAAAGTGTTTGTTTGAATTTTTTTTAATTCATATCAGCGTACCCCGTACCCAATAAATTGAACAAAAATAATAAAAGTCAACAGAAAATGTATTTCTTGAATGAATCATTAATTAATTGAAGTTTATTACAGTATAACAACATGAGGGGCACACGAGAGTTCATGTCTAGTCCAAATTGGGCTGCGGGAATATTCCAACAAAAGTTGCTGGCAATTTTAACTAACAAAAGTTGCTATATATATATATATATATATATATATATATATATATATATATATATATATATAAATTATCAAGTATAATTTAACCGATTCTAACATGTTATCACTCTATTTTTCAAGTTACCATATCAAGTTTGAAACGTGCAATAATTTATTGTTTTAGATTAACTTGGTAATGTAAAAAAATTTACATTGTCAGCATACAAAAACATAAACTCAATATTGAATTGTTAAAAGCATGAAAAGTTAAATTGAGAACAAAATAATTAGTGACTTTGATGATCCCAGTCAAAGTGCTAGACCAAATAGGAATTTTCCGAAAAACTACATTGGCCAACAAAAGAAAAAATTACTGATTGCATGCCTTTATTGAAACTCAAACGAATAAATCAGTCCAACAAAATCCACATTCCAAATACCCTTTTCTTCCTTTTTTTAATTTATTTATTTTCTTCTTGTAGAAATGCATTTGAATTGATTAGAAGAGGAAATTCAAATAAAGGGGAAACTGAAGGAAAGTTGAATCAAGAACAAGATTGAATGTTATGGCTTGTTTTTTTCCATTTAATAACAGAAACTTGGACACAAGTTTTTTCATATTCAGGCCAACAATAGTGATTGTAGATGATGTTGTGGAAGCTCTCAAGAATTTCTCTTTTTCTACAGAAAGTCTTGGATGTGTTCATAGTGCCATTTTTACAAGTATTCATGGCAATATGGTATGTCTTCAATTATTTATACCCTATTTAAATAGTAGTATAGTTTTTTGACGAAGATAATTGAACCCCCTCAGATCGCGTAGCTCTGCCCCTTGGTAGAGGCGAGGATGAGGAGTAGATAGGTATATTATGTAATCTTCTTTTCTAGCTTATGTGAATTTGATTATTAATTTTATACTGTCTTTTTTTGGAGGGCAGATGGTATGGTATGGAGCATGGATAAAGAGATCTAGTGAGAATAAGGACTTACTTGTAAGTTAGATAATACAATGATGCTTCTACTTCTTTATTTAGTTAGCTTAATAAGGTTATCATATCAAGCTTCTTTGCCCCCCACGCGTGGAATTACACTGTGTTTGTTTCTTGTTGTATCATATCGGGCTTTCAATAAAAAGTTACTTGTTATTATAGGTAAATTTAACTTAATGATGTATAATTTATGCGCTGTCAATTCATAGACCTTAAACTCAAATTTCGTTTAAATATGAAGTACTCCCCTTTCTCATCTTCTATGCCAATCAAACAAGAGAGGAAAATAAAGGGGAGCCTTTGGTAAAGTTGCTGCCATGTGATCTCCGGTTCGAGCCGTGGAAACAACCTCTTACAGAAATGTAAAGTAAGGCTGCGTACAGTAAACTCAGCTTAGTGTACTGGGCTGCCCTTTTGAACAGTGAAGTTATAATCTTTGTGTATTACTTAAAGGTTCTTCTATCCTTGTTACATAATTGCTAATGTTCCTTGTTTTTCCTTTCATGATCAGCTCTCAATGCTAACAAATGTATCAAGCATGGCAATCCTATTGGAACATGGCTTCTATGATGCATATGCTGGAGAATCAAAGGATCATTCCCCCGCCGCGAAGTTCTACCCAGGGGACATAGTTTCCATGAACTCCGCGGCCTCTTCTTCCCATCATCATGACATGCCAATCGAACATTTTTCCTACGCGTGCTTAGCCATATTCAAGGACCGGTTTCAGAAGATGGATGGCGCGGTTGCTGGAGTTTGTTTGAAGTGTCAAACCATACCAAAGGTTGCTGCCATTTTCGTGTGGAAATCTTTGCAATGCTGCTACAATTACATACTGAATCAAGATTCTAGGAGTGTTCTTCCTTATTTTGATGGATTTTCACTTGATTTGAAGTATGATGTTTTTAAGGTTGTTTATGTAAGTGGAGATGGTGCCTTAAACTTTCACTTTTACCCTCCACACAAGATGTTGGAGGGTAAAGAAGGGCTGCATAATGTTACTCAAGAACTGAATAGAGTTGCAGAATAGAAACTTAAGCTTAGGGTTATGTTATAAGTACTTACTACATACTATTTAGTTTAGTATTGGGCATATGGATATGACTTCAGTTTTGGTATGTAATTTATTAAGTATATTATGAAATGATTAAGCATTTAAATAAACCGATAGCTTATGCTTTTTATCTTGATTTGGTCAAAATTTTGGGAAACTAATTGTTCTTATGTTTTAAAATTTTAAAAGACTTATTTTGAATAGTTTGGGTGTTCTGCTAAGTTTTTGAAAAGAAAATACTTTTGAATAGTAGAAGAATTAATTTTCTATGATGGGAAAGAAGCTGAAAAGATAGTGTCTCCTTGTAAACAGAATAAAAAGCAGAAACTATTATTAGATTACAAAATGTCAGTTAACATTCTCTTAAATTGACTAACTATTTAGTGAAAAGTTAAAACATTCTATGTTAGAATGAGCACTAAGATTTTTGCTCACCTGTAATGATTGATATGATCTTTCCTTATATAATGCAAGATAATAATTTTCTGAAATAGGAGTAAAAGGTGAGAAATTCAAAAATATCCAGATTTATAAGTGGTCATTGAAAAATAGTCACAGTTTCAAAAGTAATCGAAATTTGGCCACTTTTCATGTAAAGATAAATTTGAACGAAAATACTGTTAAAATCCAAAAAATATTCCAGCATAATATACTGGAGTTGTCGTATATTATACCGGAACTCCAGTATAATATACTGGACTTCCAGCATAATATACTGGAGTTCCAGTATAATATACCGGTCCAACAAAATATGCTGGAAGTTCATACATAGGTGTTCCAATCTCCAGTATATTATGCTAGAACTTTCCGCATGTTGGAGTCCCAACATAATATGCTAGAAGTTCATACACAGGTGCACTAATCTCCAATATATTATGTTGGAACTAGAGCTGTCAATATGGGCCGAGCCGGGCTAGCCCAGCCCAGCCCACGTGGGCTTTAGCAATTGACGGGCTGGTGTCACGACCCAAACCCCGCTCCGGTCGTGATGGCGCCTCTCGTGAAGACAAGGCTAGCCAGACCATTTCAGAACACCACTTTTAAGCAGTTAAACAGTTCAATAACAGTTCGAATATGTTTTAATGATATTAATTAACGTAATTACAACCCAACACAGCCCGACCGGGGTGTCACAAGTCACGAGCATCTATAAGAATGAAATTCCCACTTTACAGTCTAGAAATACACTGAACAAGAATAATGAATAACATAGAAAGACAGTGGTGGTGCGAACGCTGGCAGTCACCTCGCTAAAACCTCTACAACTCTGCCTCCACGCAGCCAATACCCGTTACCGGGTGCATAAATACCTGCAACTGCACGCGAGGTGCAGGGAGTAAAGTGAGTACTCCAACTCAGTGAGTAATAAAGGTAAATAATAACTGAGCAACAAGAAATCACGTAAAGCAACCAACATGCTATATAGAAGCCGCGTACAATTTCCTGAGAAAACAATGTAATCTGAGAAATCTTTAGAAATACCTTGGCGCAGTTCAAATCTCTTTTGAAAATGATCTTTTCAATAATTACGAAAACGATTTCAAAACAGTTAGTGCTGATAAGCACAGAAAAGTCCACCCCTCGGGCACAAATACCACAGTATAACAGGTAAAAGGAAAATAAATATGCAAGATGAGCACATAAAAGTCCGCCCCTCGGGCAATCCCTCAAAAACAGTACCAGCCCCTCGAGCTCACTCTCAACAACACTCTCAGAACAGTATCACATAGTAGCCGCTGCGGCGTGCAGCCCGATCCACATATCGCTGCGGCGTGCAGCCCGATCCATAGCTCGCTGCGGCGTGCAGTCCGATCCATATGGGTACCCGCGCTCACTGTGGGGGTGCAGACTCCGGAGGGGCTCCTACAGCCCAAGCGCTATATCACTACGGCGTGCAATCCGATCCAATATATACATACTGCTGCGGCGTGCAGCCCGATCCATATAATATACTGTTGCGGCGTGCAGCCCGATCCATATATAATCCTCACATCCAGGCCCTCGGCCTCATATCACTCAGTGTATCCTCACATCTGGCCCTTGGCCACACTCAGTTAGAATATCATCACAAGCCCCTCGGGCATTAGTAAAACAGTAGTCCTCAGCCCAAATTATCATTTAAAATATCATTTAAGACTCAAATCTGAGTAAAAGTGGCTGAGTTGTGAAATAGTGGAGAAACAATATGACTGAGTTCAAGTAATAAGTCAAAACAGTGAGGAAACAGTGAAAATAATCCCTGAAGGGTTCAATTAATTGGCACGAAGCCCAAATATGGCAATCAGCCCAAATCATGATAATAACAAATATGTTCCAGTCAAATACGCGGTAAAAATCATTAATCGGGACGGACCAAGACACAATCCCCAACGGTGCTCTACCCCACGCTCGCTATCCGGCGTGTAAGTCACCTCAATATAGCACTATGGTGCGCAAATCCGGGGTTTCAAACCCTCAGGATATCATTTACAATCATTACTCACCTCGAACTGGTGAAATCTCTAGCTCACGACGCCCTTGCCCATCAAATCGGCCTCCACGCGCGTCGAATCTATCCAAAATCAGAGTGAATATATCACAATAGGCTAAGGGAACATAACCCAATCGAAAAACATCGAAAATCACGAAATTGCAAAACCCGAGCCCCGGGCTCACTTCTCGAAAAATTATAAAATTCACATCACCGGATTCCTTATCTCGCCACGAGTTCATACATACCAAGAACTCTCAAATCCGAGCTCAAATGGCCTATCAAATGCCCAAATCAAATTTCAAATTCTTAAGCCCAAGTTCATCAATTTTAGGCTTAATTTCCATAAATTTCTAGACCAATTTCACAATATAATCATGTTTTAAGTTCAAAAATCTTACCTCCAATCGTTTCTCCTTGAATCCCTCTTCAATTTCCTTCATAAAGCTCCCAAAAAGATCAACAATGGAGGAAAAATGACCCAAAATCGCGGAAATGAGCTTTTAAAACATTCTGCCCAGCTCTATATTTTCTTCTATGCGATCGCGGCCTCATGCACGCGATCGCGAAGAGCAAATTCCCAAGCTCCCAAAAATGTGCTATGCGAACACGAGAATGCCCCTTCGAACGCGAAGAACTTACCTGGACTCCAAAATCCTCATACGCGATCGCGAACAGCTGAATGCGATCGCGAAGCTTCACCCTCAGACCCTCTGCGATCGCAGATGACCAAATGCGAACGCGATGAACAAATTTCAAGCCTCCCGAATTTCTCCTATGCGATCGCGGCATCACCCCCGCGATCGCGATGGCCAAAGTTTCTGCAACATAAGAACTGAAAAACCTGCAACTCTCAAGAGCCAAAATTGGTCCGATTGACCATCCGAAACTCACCCGAGGCCCTCGGGACCTCAACCAAACATGCCAACATATCCCATAACATCATTCAAACTTGTTCCAATCATCAAAACACCTCAAACAACATCAAATTACTCGAAACTCATCGAATTCAAGCCTAAGTTTCTCAAAACCTCCGAAATGCACTTTCGATCAAAAACCCGACCAAACGACGTCCGAATGAC